ACTCACCTACACCCAGAAGACATTTTATTACTTATTACTGAAATCTAAATGAATTCACTACTTTTAACTATTACAATAGTTAGAATTGGATATTTTGTGTATTTATTCATTCATTATTATCTATTTTATTCTGCTAAAATGACTACAATGCATAAACATTTATAGAATAGAACAACAAAATTTTATTTTTGCCAATTCCATTGAATTAGACAACATCACCATCCGTATGAAACAAAAACTAATAATATCTTTCCTTATAGATAATGTTGATTTAAGTAGTTGTATGTGCCATGAGATAGAATAATTTTCCAAAACTCCTGTCACATCCTATTTCATGAGATGTTTATCAAAAAACTTACGTTCCATGGGATTGGATGAGATCAAACTGTCCCATCCGATGTTGAGTCCCGTTTGCTAGTCATATATATTTTCCTTGCGAGAACGATAAACAAGACCACTAATGCTCCTTGATAGGATTCATATATTTTCAAGGCAGTTATTATCAAAGACAAACCTATACTATCATTTACCTATATTGTTGTTGACAGATATTTTCCTAACATTTTGCCAGTTATAATATCATATGAACATAATAAACTAATAAGTACAAAGGTAATCTTATTTCAAGGAATCATTTTCAACACAACTCTCAGTTCGTATCATGTTTACAGTAAATATGTCACATATGAAATAAAATGGAGTTGTATTGTAAACATTCTATTGTCATAGATTCAATCATAAAAGAAAATGACAAGAGATCATAAGTCAATGTTGCACAGTATTAGTCAATAACTGGTGTTTACCATCTGGTGAATCACAGTGAATCATTTCAAATTTTATATTTCATAGAAAGCTTTTCCGTATAAAAAGTTGTAAAATTTTTAAGTTACAGGAACTCATTGTGAGTCACTTTCATTGCTCTGCATTCTTTTTTTTCCTATTTATATGAAAATAACATTGTCTTTGTGCAAAAAATAAAGAGAAGAGAATAAAATGATAATGTCTTATTCAAACTCTAAGGCATATAAGGTCAATGACTACGTAGTAGCATATATATATATGTCACAATGAATCAGAGTGAATGGAAAAGCTTTAATCGGATATATTTGTCACGAAAAATAAATATATCTACAAATGTTTTCTTATGTGAATAGAAAATCAATATTGATAGAACAAAAAAATGACTTCGTGACTGTGTAGCTGTTCTTTTTTTTTGTCTAGTATTAATAATAATCCGAATCATCATCTTTGTAAAACGATATTTTTATCTTTACATAACTGTCTCATTTTGTTTTCATCTTTTTGTTGTAATGATTAAAAAGTAATTCGTTCTACACATTAAGTAGAAAACTTTTACAAAAAAAACCTATAAAATAATAATATTGGAAATTACGTTAAAAAGCAATGACATTAAAAGACAACCATATGTCATATGTTCTTGTTTAATTAGAAATTTACATAAAAAACTGACAATGATTAATAGTTATATGTCATTTTCGTCAATGAATATACTCTTCGATAAAATGCCTCGAATAGTACTTCGTTATGTCACTAAAGTTATAATATTAGTTGAAGTTTTGAAGAAATGACAGTAATCAATTAATTATCCTTTATCTCACACTGTCTTGGTTTTTTTTCTTGTGTTGAAATCAACAGATGAATACTTTTTTGACAAAACCACAAGTTCAAATGATTTATTCTGCATTTTTTTTCTCTGAAATTGGTATTATGTGTCTTGACAACATTGTTTTCTACTTGAAAAAGTCGCTTTTAAAATATTACAGCATTTTATGTTCGGATGGATGGTATGATTAATTTATCTAAATAATGAATATTTTTGTGATGTCATCTTTACTAAAACACTGAACGAAACAGTCGGCATGATGAATATCGGCGATTTGAGTGCGTTCGCAATTTTAATGAAATGTGATTTGGATTGACATCAGACATTTTACTGAGAATGCAAAGAAAAGATTCATTTATTTAGATATAACTAGTATTAGATCAGAAGAACAGCTTTTTTTTAACTAACAATTTTTGATTATTAATCACATCATGAATAGTATTCGATCTATATCTTTGTCTTGTCATGGATAAAGAATATCATTTATATTTCATATAATCTGGCAAGTTAAATATCATCTATTTGTTTAAATCTTTATCAAACTAATTGGTAACTTCAAATAACTAACAAAAGTCTAGATTTTTCAGTAGACAATATTCACTATAATTTTATTTTAAAAAATCTATCAAACATAGACTAATCAATGAACTAATCATCATGTTTCAGTCAATGGTAATTTATTTCTTGTAATCATTGTTTATTGATGTAAATCAGAAAAAAAAACATGGATGTTTTTAATATTATTTTACTTTTAATTCACTACAAAATCATTATTAAATAATAATAAATATGAGGGTCGTTCAAAAAGTTTTGAGACTAATCTTATTCAAAAACAACAAGAACCACTGCGATATTAGTGTATTGTTGTTTGTGTGCAGTTCATATAGTTTTTGATCTACAGATGTCATGAGCTCTGATCGATTAAACATTTTATGTCGAGATATAGCAATACTTTTTACATTGATAGAAAGTTTTTAGACTTGGATATACTTCAATGATAAAGTTTCTAGTACTGGAAGACCAATCTCCATTCAATATTCATGAACGAATGACGATAGTTTATGATGACCAACATTTCATCACATACTGTAGTTTCTGTATGAAATTGCGGTTTTAAAGATGGGCAATTAAGTATTGACGATGATCCTTGATGCGCACGACACAAATCTTAAAACAGTTAGAAACTTAGTCATCATAAAGTCTAAAATCGCAATTTAGCAATATTTGTAGCATTTCAAATGCATGATACATGGCATTAACATGATCAATTACATATGACTAATAGAATCTGTTTAAGGTGAATATCACATCCGTTAGCATCTAAAAAACTATACATCATTCATATATCAACGCTTACTTATCCATCGTTAAAACGACAAGTCCGCTAAATAGCTATAGTGGATGATAGGCAAGGGGAAAACGTGAGACTTCAGTACTTTGACGTACTAGTGAAGTAAAATGAAGTACGATACTTCGGAGTACTAAAGTTTTGCTTTTTCCTCCTTGATGATAGAGTATTATCACTCTAAGTTACCATTATACGTTCATAAACATTGGATAAGAATTCACTATCCAAAACACAAAATTTGCTAAAATCTTTGAATATATTATCAGTATACATCAGGTGATGTAAAACGTACTGCTGTATTTGGACATAAATGCTTAAGGGTAGTCCACCTTTTACTCACTCAAAATTTTTGTTTTTTTTCATTGTTGACTTTTTTGTGGTCATTATATAGTTTCAAATAGTATCTATCTATTGAATACATTTTGAGACCCAAAAATTGTCTTTAGACGTTAAAAAATTCGAGAAGAAATCCAATTTTCATAACGAAAATAGTGCAAACTGTACATTATTTCGGTTTTTTCTCAAAACAATTTTTTCATGAAAAAAGTGCAGAAATGTCCCCGCCCCCCCGCCCCATTTCTTTGGCGTGCTACGTCCTGTTGAGCTGAAACTTTTTTCACATATACTAGATACTGTTTGGGATGAGGTTTTTTTTATTTCAAAAAATATTTTTTTACTGATTTTTGGTAGCTCTTATAAAAAACAAAAAGAAATTAGGAAAACTGCACTTTAAGCAGTGTCTAGTATTTGTAAAAAAATTTTTAGCTCGATCGAATGTAGCATTTTGAAGAAACGGTAGTGAAAATTGGAGACATTTTCGCTATTGTGATCCCAGTATTTCATAGAATATAGCATCCGGAAATTTTGAGTCTATGATAACTTGTTACTGTACTCATCAAGGTCTGTCTGTGCTGAAAATTTCAAATTTTTCTGATGACCTGTTCTCCAGAAAGCCTGGAAAAAGAGGGGCTATCCTTAACTAATCAGAGTTCATGTTGTCTACAGATCAAGAACTGTATGAAATACACGCGTACAACGATATTAATGCAGCGATGTGTATTGTTGTTTTCGAATAAAATCAGTCTCAGAACTTTTTAAATGACCCCCGTATATCATCAATATTTTTGATGCATCTGTCATGATTCATATTTGATAGATGACCATATTGATGGGCTGAAACATACTCTCATATATCGAAATGATATTTTTTATTAGAGTGTACAAAAGTCAACATATGACGTCGCTATCGCCAATTTTTTTCTATTTTAAGATTGGCAAAGAATAGATTATTAACAGTGATTTCACATTTATAGATGATTATCTGACTCAAGCACACTTCATAAAACTAATTCAACCGAATCATTTTCTGCATATGTAAACAAATAAGGCTATATTTTTGAATACCTCGAAATTTTTCTACTTTAATCTTTAATGTGTATAACACGATGACCTTAAAACATTAATAACAAATGGTCAATAATAAAAATGCACCTATACAGGTTTAGACGAAAGATTAACAAAAAAATTATATCGATTCTAACACATTTCCACAGAGACCTAATTGGGAACACATTGAAATCTTATAAACCTGTACATATCTTGTTTTTAAGTAGTGCTTACATTAAAATTAGATAACAATAACAAAAAAATTATGAATGATTGTCATGGTTGATTTGTCAGCCAACTCAGATTGTATTATCTTGCTATCGATATATATTACAATTGCCTATTTGGTCTGTTCGTTATGTTCGATATGTATCATAATGCATAGGTAGTGATTATATTCATCATACTACTAATCTTATACCTTTTCGTTCGTTTAGTTATTTTTGCACGTGCATACATGCGTCTATTTTGCGAAATTTTTCATTTCTCCAAGCCTTACGATGAAAGAAGACGGAAAATAACCATATTTATGACTTTAATGTCCATCACTCAGGCATAATCATCCGTTATTAAGGTATATTTGATGATGCATGAAGCATAAATAACTAAAACAATAGTTACTTGTTAGTCGAGTGTATAGTTATGAGTGTAAACAAAAGTGAAACACATGTAAATGGAATTGACACAGTAGAAAATGAAGTTGTGAATACTTCTGAAACCCGTAATATACAAGATTCATCATCAATTATTATTAATGAACAATTTCATCAACATCCTATTTTTAAAAAATATCTTCCAAAAAAATTATGTGAAATATTAGAAGTTTGGTTTTTAGATGGTACATTAAATGAAGATCAAAAAGAAATCTTTCGAATTTGT